CCCCAATCCAAGTAAGGTTCCACATCCATATCCCAACATCACCACTTTCCATGTAAATCCACTCTCCTCGTCTGCATCGACTTCAAGCTGTGGGGCACTCCGATGTTCACACTCTGGCAGCGGAAACCCACATAGTCCCGGATTCCCTTCGAATGAGGTTGCATTAAATGTCCTAAACTGTGTTCCGTCAGGAATGCGGCCCACAAGATGGTTTTGCGAGAGATTTAAGACTTCAAGATCCGTGATAAAGGCAAGACTTTGAGGGATCTCTCCTTTTAGCTGGTTACATGATAGATCTAACGACTCGATCTTTAGGAGATTTCCTAGAGCTTTTGGGATTCGACCATTGAGGTTGTTATGGGATAAGTTCAACACTATCAAAGAGCTAAGACTACCAATGACATCTATAATCTCTCCTTCAAATATGTTACTAGATAGATCGACAATTGTGTAGTCAACTGAAATTTTTGGAAATTGAAGTTCCGAACCTTTCACCGCAACAGTGATAGAGTAGAACTTGCCAATGCTCAAATATTCCAGTTTTGTGCTCTTTTTAACCCCCTTATTCTTCATCGAGTCATAATTTTGAAAATAGTTTCGAGGGAGATGGCCTACAAACTTGTTTTGAGATAAGTCGAGCACTTTGAGACTTGAAAATGGGTGTTCAACGATTGAAGAGGTTTCTATGGGACCATGCAACTTGTTGGATTTGAGAACAAGAACCTGGAGATGTTGAAGATTAGCTGACCAGTGAGGGAATGTACCAGTTAAGTGGTTGTTTCCCAAATCAAGCACTTTCAAGGATTTACATTCAGACAACCCACTTGGCACCTCCCCTTCTAATGAATTTCCATTCAAAATAAGTCCTTCTAATCTACCACAATCATCCCATGTATTTGGAATGGTGCCATGAAAATTATTGTTCCCCAGATCTACCATCTCTAGGTTCGAACTGATATTACCCAAGCATTGTGGAATCTCTCCATCAAATCTATTATCGGACATATCCAAATACGATAGATAACTCATGTTGCAAATTGATGAAAGGAATGACCCTTGAATCAGGTTGGAATGCATATCCAAGTAAGTCAAAGACTGGATATGGCCGATTGAGTAAGGTATTTCTACTGATAAGTTGGTGCTTGAGAGATCCAAGTAAATCAAAGACTGGAGATGGCCGATTGAGTCGGATATTTTTCTTGATAAATTGGTGTGTGAGAGAAACAAATTAGTCAATGACTTGAGACGACCGATTGACTCGGGTATTTCTCCTGATAAATTGGTGTCTGAGAGATGCAAGTGAGTCAAAGACTTGAGATGGCCGATTGAGTCGGGTATTTCTCCTGATAAGTTGGTGCTTGAGAGATACAAGTAAGTCAAAGACTGGAGATGGCCGATTGAGTCGGGTATTTCTCCTGATAAGTTGGTGTTTGAGAGATCCAAGTAAATAATTATATAAAATTTATTTATGGTATTTATTTAAGTTTCCATTTTACCATATCTATGATTTTAATATGATTTAATTTCTTTATTTGAAAAAATATTTTATATTTCATGCATTTAAAATAAGCATATGTAGTTTTTATTTAAGGAACTCATTTTTTTATTTAAATAAATATTTTAAAAATTACAATTTTCTTCAAAATCATATATGATTCACAACTGATTATTTTCCTTTTAACAGTGTTTTCCTAATCATATGAGATTTAAAATTTGAAAAATAATAATTTAAATTAAACATTGAATTTTTTTTGGAAAAAACAAAATCACATGTGATGTATAGCAAAACGCATTTAAAATGATTCATTTTCTTTAATTGCAAGTGTCAAGTTTGTGTATCATGTAGTTTTTAATATCTATCAGATTTTTTCCAACATGTAAATTTTTTGTCAATTGAATCGTATTTACTTTCAAATTTCTACAAAACATTAACAAAGTTCATCGTTTTTAAAAATATTTTACAAGTTTAAAAAATATATACAAATATTTAATTGAGTCGTCAGTCAAATGTTATAATTCTAAAAAGGTTGTCTAAAGTTTTAATACTGATAGGTAGACCTTTCAATTCACCGGGAAAATTCTAAGTTTTTTAATATCTAGAACTGGAATTTGGATAATACGAGCAATATGGTGTTGTTCTAAGTCTTTTAATTGGAATTTGGATACAGGGTATTGAGTATAATTGATTTTTATTATCTGTGTAGACTTTTCAAGTATACTTATCTATTCACGACTAGACCTTTTATGGTCCAAATTTCCCTTTGAATAAAAAACTTGACTAAGTCTTACAACTGGAGGGTGGGGACTTGGTCTTATTTTCTTTTTTGGAGCAAATTTTCCAACTTTAGATTTATTAACGTGAGAAGACGCTACTTTATCCACGAATCTTGCTCCAATGATTTGCATAAAAAATTGAGGTCTTTGTTGTTTGGTTAATGTTTGTCAACGAAAGACGTGTCCTTTTGTCTATGTCTCACAAAATAATGAATAATTTACAATTGAAATTAATTAAGAATTTGAAATTATTATTTATTAATAATTAACAATTTATAATCAACCCTTTTTAATTAATAATAAATAACAATTGATATTAATCAAGGGTATAATTGATATTAAGTGGTTGTGGGTGTCTTTTCTTTTAGAACACTCTAATATGTGAGATCTAATTTAAACCATGAAAAAAATAGTTGAAAATAAAATATATAATAAAAATTAAAAATCTTTCCCTTTGTGTCATTTCTCCTATTTTACACAAAGCTTACTCACCAGGTTCTTTCGATTTTTTACTTAACAATTTGTGTTATGAACTGCATATATATATATATATATACATATATATATATGCAGTTCATAACACAAATTGTTAAGTAAAAAATCGAAAGAACCTGGTGATATATATATATATATATATATACACACACATTTATATTGATAGGTAGGGGTACTTATGGTTGGGTTGATCGGGTTGAATACATTTGAACAACCCAACCCAATGCTTGCGGTTTGAAAAATCTTAACCCAACTCAACTCAAACCAAAATGCAACCCAACACAACCCAAACCGTACGGGTTGGTCGGGTTGATACTTTGATACATATAAATATTCTCCCAACCTTCAATATGTTATTTCTCATTTCATAATTTCTTTTTCATCATCAACCATTTGATACAACATATCCATACTTCTTACATATATCACGTTCAATTAATTTTCTCAATTTACATATATATGTTCATAGTTACTGAACAGGTATACGAATCAGTTATATAGAGATGTGAATAGATTGAAAATGTGTATATGAAGCGTACATGATAGTGTAATTGTCTAATGTATATGTTAATAGAAATCCAACAATCATATTAAATCTAAGAAATAAAAGAATATCGGGTTCATCGGGTTGGGTTGGGTTGGGTTCAAATTAAAGTAACCCAATATCAACCCATTACCTACTGTTTGAAAATTTTACAACTCGATTAGACATCGGCCTGAGTTATTTTGTGTTGGGTTGAGTTGATCGGGTTGGATGGGTTTTTGATCACCCATATTCATAGGTAACTTAAGGGTTAAAAATCAATCAACCTTCAATTTCCTCGTCCCTATTAAGTCATCCTAGGAACATTGCATTGCAATGCAAAATCTTCCGTAAAACCCATAAGAACTACGTTCGAAACGAGAGGGAAGCACGAGTTTTGGATCAAGAATCCGAGTATGAGATCGTGGATATTTGAGTCAGGTAAATCATTACGTTTAAATCTCCAATAGTTGTTCATTCTTATAGGTGTTGTACAAGTCTATTTGAGGGTCATATTGGGTATAACCATGGCCAAACGACGGTCATGTTGAGCGTGTCGACAGTGGATAGCAGCTCACATTCACGGTGCGCTTAAGCTATGATAAGCCCCGAATGCAATATATGTCCATTATAGATGTACTTGGAACATAAATTAACAAGTGTTATAACAAAAATCGACTAAAACAGTCCGAAGTCGAAGCTTCAAAATTATTAATGGTGGCTGCAAAGTCGAGCAAAAAGATTTAAACCCGATGTAAAATTGAGCAAAAATTGGAAGAATAGAAGCTCGAATCATCATCCATGGCTATGAGTTGAGAGAAGAATCGTTATGCGTTATGAGGTTTAGGGGTTTCGGTTTTTTGTTTATTATTTATGAATGTTTGTTATCTATACTATATTATAAAGCATTTGACAAAAACTCTTAAAAACCATTTTTTATGCATGAATTATTGTTTATTGATGCATATTACTTAACTGCGGATAAACATAATCAAATAGAAGATAAACATATCATTTTAAAATATAAAAAATCTAAAATATAATTAATTATCAAGTTCTAACAAAATAATTAATTATTATATTTATAAAAAATTATATTAATAAACAGGTATAAATTACTCCATTATTGAACATAAATTAAATTACAATTAAAAAATTACACAAAAATGAGAAAATTTTAAATAGTTAATTTGATACTAATATCGATATATTTTTGTTAAAGTTTTATGATATCTTCAAATATATTTTATTCAAAAATAAAAACATTATCGCATTTTCAAAATCACATACGACCATATTATAACATCGATTGAGATAAAAAAAATATTGAAATCAAGATGTATCTCGCTGCATTGCACGAGTTCCATTCTAGTTATTAATAAAACTTGTAGTTTTTATTAAATCTTTTATATCTATTTATCACTAAAAAATATTGCAGCTTTTACAATTTAAAAAAAGTTAATTACGTGAAAATAATTCGTTTGGTTACAAAAAAAGCTATTACAAATTTTACAATAAAAAAAAGAATAATTATATGGAAATTTTTGCTTAATTAAAAAAATACTACATGATTTACAATTATTAAGAACGGTGACGTGGATTTTTATTGCTTACTCGGTATTTAGAAAATAAATGTTACATGAGCAAAAACTAATCGTGGTTATCGTTTTCAAATGATTAGGTGAACCAGGTACCTAAATAATTAAAATGTTACATGTCAAACACCAAATTGAAGATTCTAAAAATACGTCACTTAAAATAGGAATTAGATAGATGTTACCATCTAATGTCAGGTGAAGACTTCAGTCAAGAACTAAAACACAAATTAAGTATACAAACAGAAGGAGAAAAAAGGTGAAGATATAGAAAGCAACAAAAGAAATAGCACGACTTTAAGACCATGTACAATCATGCTCTGCAACTTCATAATTGAAACCAACCCCAATTTCATCTCTAGCTACCTGCATCACAAAATTTCAAACAAAACAACAATTGATTTCTACGATTTGATTATATAAAAGTTATAGCAAATAACCCACCAGTTAATTCAAGAATTGATTTCATTTTCCGATATAAACATGTCTTCTCTTCTTTCGCCTTCGCAGGATCATATACTCTATTTCATCAGCAATTAAATTGAACCACTTTGGTCTTCCCGTTGACAACATCATATATCCCATCCCGAATCCAAGTAAGGTTCCGCATCCATATCCCAACATCACCACTTTCCATGTAAATCCACTTTCCTCCTCTCCATCGACTTCAAGCTGTCGGGCACTCCGATGTTCACACTTGGGCAGCGGAAACCCACATAGTCCCGGATTCCCTTCGAATGAGGTTGCTTCAAATGTCTTGAACTGTGTTCCGTCAGGAATGGGACCCACAAGATGGTTTCGTGAGACATTTAAGACTTCAAGACTTGTGATATGGGTAAGACTTTGAGGGATCTCTCCTTTTAGCTGGTTACATGATAGGTCTAAGGACTCGATCTTCAAGAGATTTCCTAGAGCATATGGGATTCGACCGTTGAGGTTGTTGCGGGATAAGTTGAGCACTATCAAATAGTTAAGACTACTAATAACTTCTGGAATCTCTCCTTCAAATATGTTGCTAGATAGATCAACGATGTTGTAGTCAACCGAAATTTTTTGAAATGAGAGTTCTGAACCTTTCACTGCAACAGTGACAGAGTAGAACTTGCCAATTGTCAAATATTCCTGAGTACTGAACATTTCTGTGCCATTCTTAACCCTGTTCTTCATCGCATCAAAATTTTGAAAATATTTTCTAGGGAGATGACCTACAAATTTGTTTTGAGATAAGTCGAGCACTTCGAGACTAGCAAATGGGTGTTTAATGATTGAAGAGGTTTCTATGGGACCATGCAACTTGTTTGATTTGAGAACAAGAACCTGGAGATGTTGAAGATTAGCTGACCAATGAGGGAATGTACCATTTAAGTGGTTGTTTCCCAAATCAAGCACTCTCAAGGATTCACATTTAGACAACCCACTCGGCACCTCTCCTTCTAATGAATTTCCATTCAAAATCAATCCCAGTAATACACCACAATCATCCCATGTATTTGGAATGATGCCATGAAAATTATTGTTTCCTAGGTCTACCATCAGTAGATTCGAACTGCTATTACCCAAGCATTGTGGAATCTCTCCATCAAATCTATTATCAGACATATCCAAATACGACAGATAACTTATGTTGCAAATTGATGGAGGGAATGGCCCTTGAATTAGGTTGGAATGCATATCCAAGTAATATAAAGACTTGAGATCGCCGATTGAGTCAGGTATTTCTCCTGCTAATTTCGTGTTTGAGAGAGACAAATAAGTCAAAGACTTGAGATGGCCGATTGTGTCAGGTATTTCTCCTGATAAGTTGGTGTTTGAGAGAATCAAGTATTTCAAATACTTGAGATGGCCAATAGACATGGGTATTTCTCCAGATAAGTTGGTGCTTGAGAGATCCAAGTAAGTTAAAGACTGGAGATGGCCGATTGAGTCAGGTATTTGTCCTAATAAGTTGGTGTTTGAGAGATCCAAGTAAGTCAAAGACTTGAGATGACCAATTATGTCGGGTATTACTCCTGATAAGTTGATGTTTGAGAGATCTAACAACTTGAGAGGGTTGCTAGTGCTTGTGTAAATTTTGGGAAATCGACCAGTGAGGTCATCGTTACTTGACAAGTCAAGTTCTTCCAGATACGGAAGATTGAAGATGTTATCAGGTAATTTCCCTTGCAAACCGGTGTCACTAAGATGGAGCGATTTCATAGAAGAGAGATTAACATAGGTGGGTAAAATTGACGAGATATTAACACCATCTAGCGAAAGCTCTTCCAAACTAGTAGAACTACATAGGAGATTGTAGAAGACATGAGGTTCAAGCTTCAAATCATTCCAAGAGAGATCAAGAGACACCAATTTACGAAGAATTATGATATCCGTAGGAACTTGGCCGATAAACCCAGTATGAGAGATGTTGATATGTGTGAGACTATTAGAAAACCTTCCAATCTCACGTGGAAGTTGAGAATTGGTAAGATTATTGAAAGCAAGGTTGAGTGTTTGGAGGTGATGAAGGTTGAAGAGGGTGGAGTTAGGGTGGATGGTACCTCGTAGCATGCCGCAACTAAGGTCGAGAGCGATGACGTCATTGGTGAAGTGGTCACAAGTGACACCATCCCAATTACAACAGTCAGTACTCGTGTTCCAATTCATCGTAATTGGATAATAGTCGGAACCAAGCCAATCCACACATATATAATCATTTTCATAATACGGGTTATCATAAGAGAGAAGATTTTGTTTGAAGAGAAGCAAAGCATGAGTCTGTGAAAGAGAGCATCTTTTATTGGAAGAATAAGAGGAGGAAATGAAGAAAGAGAAAAGGAAAAAGGAGAGAAGAAGCAAGTTTGAACGATTCATGTTGATGTTAATTGCAAGTGTTATCAACTGAATCGTATTTTATTTTCTCGATTTCCAACAAAACGTTAAGTTAAGAAACAATTCCAATTTTTTAATTGATAAAATTGAGGTCTTTGTTGAATAAAAAGCTTGACTCTAAGTCTTCGGAAAAAAAACTTGCTCCAATTATTTGCATAAAAATTGAGGTCTTTGTTGTCTGCCAAAATAATTGATAAAATAGTGGATTCTAAATTTTAAATAATTAATATTAATGAATAATTAAAAATTGAAATTAATTAAGAATCTGAAATCAATATTTATTAATAATTTATAAATTTTTTTATAATCAACGTTTATTTAACAATAATAAATAAAAATTGATATTAATCAAGGGTATAATTGAAAAAAAATGGTAAAAGACTAATGAAGTTTATTGAAACGTTATTTTATATACGAATCAGTTATATAGATATGTAAATAGATTGAAAATGTGTTTATGAAGCATGCATGATAGTGTAATTGTCTAATATATTAATAAAAATCTAACAATCATATTAAATCCAAGAAATAAAAGGATATCGGGTTCATCGGGTTGGATTGGGTTCAAATAATAGTAACACATTATCATTAATCTATAGTAGAAAAGTTATTACCTTAATACTTGAAATTATTTTGCGTATGTAAAGCAAGAACAACTTTTTGTGGATAGTTTTATAGAAAACAGAGCATGTACATGTGAATGTACAGAACGCATGTTTGCTTTTGGAATGAGTTTCCAAATTTCCTTTCGAATGAAAAACTTGACTTTGAAGTCTTGCAATTGGAGGGTGGGGATATGGCCTCAATTTTCTTTGGTGCAAGTTTTCCAACTTCATATTTATCGATGTAAGAAGACACTATTTTATTGAAGAAATCTCATTCCAATTATTTTCATTAGAATTGAGGTTTTTTCAAATTAAAGACATCGCCATTCGATTATTTTGGCAAACTAGCTGATGAACTAATTACGTTTGGCAACATCATATATCCCATCCCGAATCCAAGTAAGGTTCCACATCCATATCCCAACATCACCACTTTCCTAGTAAATCCACTTTCCTCCTCTCCATCGACTTCAAGTTGTGGGGCACTCCGATGTTCACACTTGGGCAGCGGAAACCCACATAGTCCCGGATTCCCTTCGAATGAGGTTGCTTCAAATGTCTTGAATTGTGTTCCGTCAGGAATGGGACCCACAAGATGGTTTTGCGAGAGATTTAAGACTTCAAGACTTGTGATATGGGTAAGACTTTGAGGTATCTCTCCTTTTAGCTGGTTACATGATAGGTCTAAGGACTCAATCTTCAAGAGATTTCCTAGAGCATATGGGATTCGACCGTTGAGGTTGTTGCAGGATAAGTTGAGCACTATCAAATAGTTAAGACTACCAATACCTTCTGGAATCTCTCCTTCAAATATGTAGTAGTCAACCAATTTTTTTTTTAAATGAGAGTTCTGAACCTTTCACTGCAATAGTGACAGAGTAGAACTTGCCAATTGTCACTTTGGATGCTTTTAATTTATCAAATTGTATAGGGTTTGAGTTACACATGGTTTTAAAAAAAGTCGTTATCCATAACAAATTTTTGTAATTTAATTAATATATGTTTATTTTACAATGTGTTTTTGTCTCATAAAGTATTTCGTTCAGAATGTGAACTCTTTTGCGTGTAATTTTTGTTTCACAAACAGACAAAAAATTTATATTGTGAACCGAATACATATGAAACAAACATATTGTAAAACAAATATAATATATGTCAATCAATACATTAAATACTATAATTAGATGGAAAAAGATAATATAAAATATCACAGG